AACCCCAAACCCATCTATAATTGCTTGTCTAATATTTTTGATCTGATCAAAGCTTTCCATTAAACTACCACAACAATATATATAAAATTAACATTAAATGATCTACTTCAAATGCTTCTTAGTTATCTATTTAATGTAGAATTGGATATTACCTAATAGAGATTACAAAAGACAGTTACTTACTATCGGTTCATAGATAGAGGAAGGATGGAATAGTGATTATTTGCTTAAAATAGGTTTCTAATAATGTTTGGATTCAAAACTAGGTAGTTAAGGAAAAGCTGTAAATTTTGTGGAATAACTTAAACATTCCCTAAAATGATTTTATTACTTAAATCATCAGCTTCCTACAAGACTTAAAGTTTGTGAGAATATATTTGCAAATTGATGCATTTTAGTTCAAAAAAACTTCTTTTAGTTGTAGTGGTTGGTTTAACATAATTAAATAAATTATTGATGTTTAATAGTGTATAAGTTTTTTATATTAATGTCATTATGGGGAATCAAATTTTAAAGGTTCTTTGACAGAACTTTAATTAGTATCTTCAAAAATCAGCTGTCTTAATTTTTGAATACTTTTGTACTTCATTCTATTTAATTATTTTAATGGACTTATTTATTAGTTTATAGGTGGTATAGGTATAATTTAATTTTTGTTGTTAATTAGATTTGATATTATAATTGTGATTCAATTTTACAATGTTTCTGCTGGATGTTGAAGATGAACTTATAGGAGTGAGTTTATTAACTTCATCAGAAACCGCAATATCATTTGAGAAATTCGGTGATTAAGTAATAGTTTAGAGATTGCTTCTATTGTCTTGAAATTTAGGTTTAATTAGTTTAAATTCCTTAGATTCTATTTGACAATTGAAATCTTATTCTTCTGGGTTTAGATAATATGATTGAGAAATCGGGATTTTAGTAGATTAATTTGAGAAGCCTTTACTTTCTTTAAATGACTCAATTTCATGAATAATAGATTTCAGATCAAGTTTTCTGAACTGTTCATCTATATGAATTTGGATTCTTTTATTTTTAGATTGATAAAACTTAAGTTCAAATTGCTTGAGTTTTTCTTCTATTTATTTTTTGGAGCAGTTTCTTGAATGATAGTAAGATTCGAAGAAAAAAAGCAGTAGGTTTTCTAGTTCTTTGTTCATCTATCAATTTGCTCGAAATTCGAATAGCAAAATCTATTTAATAATAATATATAAATTACATTGTAGAGCTTTTCTGTAATGGGTGTCTTTAAGTTTATTGGAAAAGTAATGATAGAATTAGGGTTCCTTAATACCAATGTTATGATTGATCATATGCTCGAAAGTGATATGTATATTTAAAAAGTATATTAAAAAATTTTAATATCAACATTATTAAAGTTTATTCTAAATATTTAAATATTAATATTTAAAAAATGTATTTAAAAAGTTTTAATTAAAACTTTAATATGTATATTTAAAAAGTTTATTAATAAATTTTTATAAATAATATTTAAAAAATTTAGTATGATTATTTTACTTATCCAGTTTTAACATCCCATATTCTGATCGACTAATCACCGCTACCAGATGCTAAAGTAGTTCCATCTGGGAGAAACATACTGATAGTCCATCACTAGTATGACCATAATCAATAAAAAATATCTTATTTATTAGAATAAAATAAATAACTAAATTGTCAAAATTCTCGTACGTAATGATTCATTCATTAGATTGAAATCTTGTTTGCTAAATACCTTTTTTTTGTAAAATAATTTATATAATGTTTTGGCCTTAAGCGTTAACTGATTATTTTTTTTCATAACTAACAATAATTTATTGAGAAATACTCAACATCTCACAAATATACTTTTAAGAAGGGTGAACATCAAATATTTATGTTTTTCTTCAAGAATTTAATTTTACAAACTTTAGTCGGAATTCTCTATGTTGGAACTAGGTCATTACTAAATTATTATGACCATCTAATTTGACTTTTTATTATCCTCTCTTACCATCCTATAAGAGGATTGAGTTATCGCTACTACCAGATGATAAAATGGTTCCATCTGGTAACTGATGAGAAGCATGCTGAGCAAAGGACATTTCAAATTTACATCAATATGATGAATTAAAAGTATCTTTTGAATTAAAGTTAAGACAAAAACAAAATGTTATGGAAATTAGGATTTGATTGTAATAGAGGTAAATCAACAAAATTTAAATCATATCAATATTGCATAGCTTAAATCTTTAAGTATATTCGAATACCCATTCTAATGACTTTTGAATATACAAAATATAAATATTATGAAAATAACTTTAGAATTTTGTTTTTTGTTAAACAAAGTATTTTTTTAAAATAATCATATAATAATTTATTAAAAAAACACTTTTTACATCATAAAAGAAAGAACTTTAACAACCTTAAGAAGAGATAGAGTTATAAAAACGAACTTAAAAGAGCAATACTGTATACAATAGCGCTTCCATAAGAATTTTAATCTATATTTAATTTCTATTGCTTTTAAATTAAGTAAATAAAAAAATTCCTAATATTTATGTTAAGATTAAGACAAAGGATTGTGAGTTATAACTACGTTAACTTCTAGTAGTGGTGATAACTCAATCCGTTTTTGGGATGTTAAAACAGGATAATAAAAAGCCAAATTAGATGGTCATCGTGAATGGGTGTCATCAGCATGTTTTTCACCAGATGGAACTACTTTAGCTTCAGGTAGTGGTGATAAGTCAATCCGTTTATGGGATATTAAAACAGGACAATAAAAAACAAAATTAGAGGGAACTACTTTGGCTTCAGGTAGCGGTGATTAGTCAATTCGTTTATGGGATATTAAAACAGGAGACTAAATTTAACCTTCAGATTCAAATTACAAAAATCTACTCTCATAGTTTAAAATCCCCTTTACTTAAAATAATCCATTTCAGAAGGTATTAATTTAAGTTTAGTTTTAGGTACCTCATTTTTAAATATTCTCCTAATTTCCCAATCCCCAATATTTTAAGCAAAAAGAGTTCTGATTTTGTAAGGAACATTTGTAACTCATTAAGGTTATGATTTGAAATCATTATTGAAATCTAAGGTAGGTATTTTTTGGAAAGTTTCCAAGGATAACAAGGAAAAAAGAATCGATTACAATTAATAATTATACAAATATTTAATTTATTTTATTGTCTGCATTCTAAATTGTCTTTTATAATCAGCTTGAAAATATTTATTTTATGATATGAATCCTTTTAAGAGGTTGACAGTTTCAACTCACTAAATTCACATTCAAGTATTTAAAAAGTTTAATTTTTTTATAATATAAATACATTTTTATTTTTTTATCTAAAATACATTACTAATCATTTTTAGTAAAAATAATTTGTTAATAAAGCTATTTCTTACATTTTTTAAAGAAAGAAAAAAACATAAAATTATATTTTAATAAGATGCAGTATTATTAAATGTTCTAAATGCAAATCAATTTATTATTGTTTTATAGAATGTTAAAAAAAAGATTGGAAAGATCATAAATGTATTTGTTCTGAAATTAAAATAATAGAGAGAAAAGTAAAGAGCAGATAGAAAAGAATAAGGAAAAAAAGCAATAGAAGATTTTGAAGTTTTGGGTCATGGAAACTTTTCTGAAATTTTTAGGGTTTGAGAAATTGAAACTAATTAGCTATATCCATTAAAAATAGATAAACAAACGAAATTAACTTAAGTAAATAAGAAAAAAGAAGTTTTTATGGGAAAACATTGTTTAGGCAAATTTANTTACTTTCTTAGGCTATCTTTGTGCTAGTTGAGATTCTACTAATTTATCAGAATTAAGAATTACTAGATTAAGGATCTTTTTATTAACTTTATGCATAAACTCTCATTCTATCTCTTATCAATTAAGCTGGTATATTAGGCAAAGTAGGTTAAGGATTGATTGAAATTTGTTATTCTGAAAATTCTTCAGATTATATAGTATGTCCATTAGCTTACTTATTCTTTCTTTCTTCTTGTGCTATCATATGTAATGCATCTAAGTAAGTGTCCACAAATACATAGTCAGATTAGTTTTCATATCTTCTCTATATCCATAAATAAAACTGAATCATACATTAGCTTTTTTCATTGGATCCTTAAGCAAACATTAAGCATCATGTACATAAAATTTTAAAACGTGAGGAGATCTTTTTGGTGATGCTTTTATTTTTGCACTTTGCAATCCTCTAACCTTCAACTCAGGAAGTGGAATAGTAGAAGCATCACTTAATTAATTACATCCACTTGTATTTGCCATTTATGAATGAACACTTTTTCGATGAAATTTTTATAAGGAAACTGAGAATGCATCTTTCGGGTTAGCATTCATATTACAATATTAAAATATTATATTGTATAAATTAAAAATTATTTTATGCAATTAGTTTTTCATCTCTTGAATTCTATTATAAGGCTGACAGTTTTTACTAACAAAAATTTACATTCAAAACATTTATTATGTATGATTTTATATTTAAAATAATTATTTTATTTAAAGAAGAACTTAAAAATTTATATTTTTTTAATTATTCAAATAACATTTATCATGCGTTCTGATACAGAATAGACTTAAGATAGCTGTTAAGTTTGTAAAAAATAAGATGTAGAATTATCAAGATGTTCTTAATGCAAATCCATTTATTATTGTTCAATAGAATGTTAAAAAAAAGACTGGAAAGATCATAAATTTATCTGTTCTGAAATATTGTTAAAATAATAGCGAGAAAAATAAAGAGCAGAGAGAAAAGCATAAGGAAAGAAAGCAATTGAAGATTTTGCAGATTTTGAAGTTTTAGGTCATGGAAACTTCTCAGATATATTTAGAGTTCGAGAAATTGAAACTAATTAACTCTATGCATTAAAATAGATTAATAAAAGAAAATTAACATAAGTAAACAAGGAAAAAGATGTTTATATGGAAAAGCATTGTTTAGGCAAACTTACTGAAAATCCCTATGTTATTAGATTATACTCAACATTTTAAGATGATGAAAATTTATATATGTTAATGTAATACATTGATGGAGGAGAATTGTGGTAACAAATTCATAATTTTGGAGCTAGAGCATTTCCCATTTGTCTATACTATATTTCAGAAATTCTAAAAGGTAAATATATTCAATTTTAATAAAGCAATAAATTCAATTCATAAATAAGGGATAGTTCATAGAGATATAAAAAGTGAACACATACTGTTAACTTAAGATAAAAAAATAAAGTTTATATATTTTGGAACTGCAAGAGATATGAATGATCTAACTATAGAAGGAAGTGGAAATAGTAGAAAAGGTAATAGTCAATAGATTATTTGTATAGGTAAATAAACTTTTAAACATTTTGTGGAAACTCCATAATTTATGACTCCTGAATGATTAGAAATAAAGATTCGAATGAAAAATCAGATATATATTCTTTGGGAGTTCTATTAATCATATAGTTTCTTTTTGTAAAGTATCCATTTGATGGAAAAAGTGATTATCTAGTATTTTAGTAAGCATTAGAGGGAGATGGATGGCTAGACAATGAATAGTTTAGAAATCTCATTAGATTAAGATAGACCAAGTCTAATTGAAATAATGGAGGATTAATTATTGGGTGAGAATTTTGATTGGAATATTCAATAAGTTATAAATATTATCTTTAATAAGATTATTATACAATATTTAATGGATTAAGTGAAATTGACAAATTTACATTTGATTTTGCTTTAGAATTTAATAATGCTGAAAAGTTAGAAGATAAAATTTGTGTGAAATATGAAGTGAATAGAGTGATAGAAAAATATAAAAAAATAATATAAGATGAAAATTATAAAAAGAGATTTAATTATATGAAATAAATTATAGAATAGAATTTGCAAAACAGAAAAGATGATGATGAAGAACCTTAATAATTCGGATGATTACATGAAATACAATTTACAAAAAGAGAATCACTTTATTTTAAATTATTTTCTTTGATTTGAAAGAGACTTAACTTTCAAATCTAGTTTTTAAGCTTCTTCTCTAATTTATACATAATTTCGAACAAGCTTTCATTTTATAAATTCAATGTTCCAATAGTTGCAATTATTAATCTGTATTTCCTAATTAGTAAAATTGATGTCTTTAAACTCTATTATTTTGAATTATGGAAAATAACGAATGTCGAATACTGTTTAATTCTTAATTTTCATTCTTTTGATAACTTTCATTATTTTAAACTTTAAACTTTGTATATCTATATTGAGATTATTCATAATTAGATTAAATTTTATCAACAATTTCAATTTTTATCTTATTTTATGGAAGACTAGTATGCAATTTGATTTGTTTTGATTGTTCCTCTTCGTCTTCAAATTATGTTGAAATAAGGAATGAATTTTTACAAACCAATTTGGAAATTGATCAAGTTCGCTTATACTCAATTTAAAACTACTTTTGAAGTTAATTTAGTTTATGATTCCAATTTATTTTAACCTAATGAGCTTTTACATCTATTATCTGTATTGAATCTTTTATTTTTTAATTTTTATTTGGTGTCCTTGATTGTTTAATTGAAGGTAATTTTAAGTGTTTGAAATTTAAGGAGAGAAAGTAAAATAATAAAGGATATAAATTAAATGAAAAAAAATAAGTGAATCAAATGATTTGATTATTATTGGATAGAAGCTAAAGAATATGATACATAGATTTTAATTTAAATTCCATAAATAAATAGATCTCTCATAATTAGAAGAATTTGAATAAGACTTTGGATGCATTTTACGAATTGATGAATAAGTGGAAAGTTGTAAAATATTAAAAATAATCAGAATTCTCTAAGAAATTGATGAATAATTATATGCAATAAACATTAAACAATTAAATATTTGAAAAGTTTAATTCAACTACTTCCTTTAATTTAGTACCTAGAATATTTTCTTAAAATCATAGATTACACACCTTTTGAGATTCAAATAATTATCCTTATGATATATTTATAATTATCAGTATTAGGATTAATGAAACTACCAGGTTTTTCAAATTAATTAAGACATTTTACACATAGAAATTAAATTGAACCATAACCTAAAAAAATGATTTATTGGGTATTTTGCCATCTGAAAAAATTTACAGTTATATTGATATTCCTTTAGCTTTGACAATCAATTATATTCCATATGTAGATTTAGAAGTAGTTTTTAATTGATAAAGTCATTTAATGTTTCAATTTATTTCACTCTTATAAATGATGAAGGAAAAATTTAAGTTTGGAATGGAGAACTAAGCTTACATAGATATTTATAATATAATCTTCGATCATTTGAAGAAAAGTAGAAGATTAAAATTCTTTGGCTCCTCTATTTGCTAAACCTTAATAAAAAAATAATGTCTCTTAAAATTTTGAAAATTAGGATAATTAAAGTGAAGAAGCTTAAGAAGTTATTATTCCTAATGAAGAATTATTAGAATAACTATATAATATGGGATTTTCAATTGAAGCTTCAAAATAAGTATTAATAGAAATAAAAAATAAAATTGAAGATGCAATTGAGAAAGTTATTGGTATTGAAGAGAAAATATTAAAAGAAAAATAATAATTGAAAGAAGTTAAATTACCAAAATTAAAACAATATTGGACTTGGGAAGAATGCACATTACTTAATTCAAATGAAATTAATAAATGTTAAGCTTTTGATGCTGAACCTCCTTAAGATGCATTTGAAAAAGAAGATGTTATTGTAATCTAAGAATAAATATCAGAATAGTAAACTGACGTTATAGAAGAAAAAAATGAGAAGGCTTAGGAGGATAACAATGAAAAATTTAGAAATATTTTCAAAACATCAAAATTATCAAATCTTATTCAAATTAATCTTTAAAAACCATTTAGAAATTTATTATTTGCTCATAATTTTACGACTGAACAATAATCTTATTTAGTTTTGAATAGATTTTTTAAAAATATCAAATGCTTAGGTTAATTTTTCAAAAGTGGTAGTGAAGGGATTTATTAAATTTTATTAATAGAAAATTCTTTTTCATTTATTAAAATTATTGAATGAAGGAGAAAATAGTTGATTTATTTATGAAAAATTATATCCAGTTTTAGCTGTAAATTATTTATTTAAAATTTTTAGTAAGCAAAAGAAGAGTTTGAATTTAAAGACTAAATTATTTTACCAATAGATGATATCATAACAAACATATACTTCCAAGATGATAAGGTTTTTATCTAAGGTACTACAAAAGTTTATGAATGTTAATTATTTGATGGTAAAATATAACGTTTATATCTTCAGGTGAAAATTATGAACCGAAATTGTCATTAGCCTAAAAATAAGAAAAAGCAGTAATTACAAAATAATTGGAAGAAGATTAAAAAAAACAATAAGTAATTGTGCAATAAATTGATATTGTTCAATCTTTGGTTAATTAAATTAAATTTACTTGCATAATAATAAAAAGAAGAATCTTATGTTTAAACATTCTTTTAATAATTTTTGTCAATACCTGAATTTAAAGGTAAATTGGTTCAAGCAGTAAAAGATATTATTAATAATATTTTTACTTTATCATATACAGAATAGAGAGATTATTGTTTCAAAATATATATATTTAACTAAGTCTTTATCATAAAACCAGCAGGTTTCATTTCATTGCTTTCGATGTTCAAGTAATATGCATCATTAGATTCAAAAGAATATTATCCAAATATTTTAAGTCATTTAAAATAAATCGCAAAGTTTATTCATAACGTTGATTCATCTCATTTCAATAAATTTCTTGATGCTAACTGAAGAATTCTGATAAACCAAATAATTTGATAAATATAGATTTTAATATTAAGAAATCACTTTATTCAATTATTGTATTTTAAAGATAAACTCATTATGATGAATATATAATTGATCTTTTATGTTCATATGATATCCATTAATTTTAATTGGTATTCAATACTCCTCAAATAAATTATAGAGTAGTAAGAGTGACATTATTTAATGGTTAAACTAATTAATAGTAAGAGTGACATTATTTAATGGTTAAACTAATTAACCTATTTTGGATGTTACATTACCAGATTGGTATTAGTTTAATTAGATTAACATTCATTAAATATGCCTAAAAGTAAATTAAATATAATTTCATGGAATATTAAGGCTTAGTAAGTGAGAACATTAAAATTACAAATAACTTATTTATTAACCGCAGCCACTAGAACAAAAGAAGGACATAACATTGCTCAGCTTGGTTTTCATTTTTATCATTTGTAGTTGGATAATTATTGTAACTTTCAAATATGAATCTAACCCAAAGTGAACAGAAATAAAATCAAAGAAAAAGATCAATTAAAAATTAGGCTGCTTAATTTATTAGGAAGTTTCAGAAAAACTGGATGAAGGAGGATTTGCTTAAATATGCAATATTGAAACTGTTTCATAGATGATTAAATTTTTAATTGAACCAAGAAAGAATTTACTTAATAATGAAACATTAGAAAATTCATTAACTTATTGGGGATTATTATTAAATTTGATGAGTAAAATTCCAACTTAATTAATTATGGA